AACTCTTATATCTTCCTATACTGGAAACCTGAGCTGGATACAGGTAATAACATTTATTTTCTTGTATAACTCTTATATCTTCCTATACTGGAAACCTGAGTTGGATACAGGTAATAACATTTATTTTCTTGTATAACTCTTATATCTTCCTATACTGGAAACCTGAATTGGATACATGTAATAACATTTATTTTCTTGTATGACTCTTATATCTTCCTATACTGGAAACCTGAGCTGGATACAGGTAATAACATTTATTTTCTTGTATAACTCTTATATCTTCCTATACTGGAAACCTGAGTTGGATACAGGTAATAACATTTATTTTCTTGTATAACTCTTATATCTTCCTATACTGGAAACCTGAATTGGATACATGTAATAACATTTATTTTCTTGTATGACTCTTATATCTTCCTATACTGGAAACCTGAGCTGGATACAGGTAATAACATTTATTTTCTTGTATAACTCTTATATCTTCCTATACTGGAAACCTGAATTGGATACATGTAATAACATTTATTTTCTTGTATGACTCTTATATCTTCCTATACTGGAAACCTGAGTTAGATACATGTAATAACATTTATTTTCTTGTATGACTCTTATATCTTCCTATACTGGAAACCTGAGCTGGATACAGGTAATAACATCTATTTTCCTGTATAACTCTTATATCTTCCTATACTGGAAACATTAATAACACAATGTAATAAATGATATCGTCAGCCTATTAAGTGTTATATTGTATCTAGACTTTTAAATGAAGACTGGGTTAGTCTTCGTCAATCTTCTTACTTCATGCACTAAATACCCAGAGATGTAATTTCAATGGTCAACCATTTAATTTTGATTGAGTACCTTTACAAGAAAATTTATCACATTTTCACATCCCAGGGAACAATTTGAAGTCCATGACATTCTTCAGTGGAAGTGTCCTTAGAAATAGATTTACATTCTTTCATAAGGTTTCTTGGGTCAGTCAAATATTCATTCAACAGCTCAAGAATGTGGAATGTCATTTTCTGCCATAAAACCTTAAATCAAAATCTTGTCAAGCTTAATCTCCATTTAAATCCATCAATACACGGAAAACCAGAAAAATGAATGAAACTACAATGATTTCCATGTAAATCAAATCTGGGTCAAGTTGACCCTTATACCATCCAGAGAGTTAATCCCCACTCTATTTTCTCAAGTAAAACTGACCACAACAACAATGGTCTATCTGGGAGAATCTCAACTGACCACTGTGTATGGCCAGCCTACCCTATCTTGACCATAGAGACCCCTGGCCGGAGTGGCTCAACAATACAGCCACGATGGTGAGCCTCGACCCTTGCTTACAAAACTAAGGGCCAAGTTCCATCATGGCTTGACATTATGTGACCTCTGACCCATTGACCATGACCAGGGGTCATCTTGCCTTCATAAGACCAGTCTCAAATCCTAAAATGGGAAGGTTGTTTTCTTTTTCGATGAAGTGTGAAGGGTTGGGCCTGGTTTCTTTCAGTGCAAGATTCTCGTTAGAAACTCTAGATGTCTGGTTTTCTTTCTTTGAAGTTTTAATATATATCTTAATTTCTTTGTCTGTGACTGCTTTTGTTAAAGGGCTACTGGTTATTGTGTAAGGTGTCACTTATGTAAAGATGATGATTTATGCTTAATGCTCTGAAAAGTATGAAAGGAAACGGATCATTTCGCACTGATTGAGATCAAAAGTTATGACACAGTAGCCTCCATCTTTAGAGAATGATTAAAATACATTTAGAACAAGTTGAACTGGTTGTTGTTGAATACTGACTCAAGAATGCATTCAAACAGGTCATTAATTCCATGTAGCATAAGTTCAGAGGGTTCCATAGATCAATTTTGTAATGGAGGTCAATAATACCAATGGTTGCTGAGTGCGACATTAAACAACAAACCAACCAACAACACCAATGTCACAGAGGGTTTTTAATAATGTGTTCTGATATTTTGCTAATGAGTACAAAATGGCAGTGTTCTAACGTATGTATTGCCAATATTTCAAGAATCGTATTTGATTCCATCTAAGATTAATGAGGTTGAAGGGTGTTGTTGCCTTCACAGATATGTATCCCAGGTATCCAAACAAATATGAATCCCAGCATAAAGTTATGGCACTTGGTACCTTAAATGGTAGACAAGTCCATACTCTAGACCCTGCCTACATCACTGTATTGGCTTGTACATGTATATATATACAGCCTGCTTGATTGACTCTCAGATAACAGTGAGACATTTCCAGTCTAGAAACTGCAGAAAATCTTCAATGTTCAGAGCAAGAAACTGGTTAAATGCATTGCGAGATGTGGAATGGACTCATCCGTTGTGCATTAATATTTTGATTTGGATACATATCTGTATACGTAAATGTACCTGGGGTACGTATCTGTAGTACCCATGCTGACAACAACCCCTTCTGTATTAACAAGACTGGACCCAGTCTACAGATTCACACTTGGTCTGTCTCACAGTCCCTGAACCGCATTATTTTCCCTTCAGCTGAGCCTTTTCTGCAATGCTAAAGCCCTGAATGAAGCAAGTCTAGATGTCATCAGGTTCAGGAATCTGAATCCCCACTTGGAAAGGATTCCAATTTAAAAGCCATTATTTGTTTCTGTCAAAGTTATATATATTCAGAGACTAAGCATTAGTCTAGCACAGAGTGAATGTTGTTTGAGGCTAGTGCTGGCAGCATATGCATGATGGCAGCCTTTACCACGGAGTACTGGCTGGACAAATCACTCATATATATATGTTTGACCAACCATTTGATATTTGACCTGGGGGGTAAGATTGTGGGTGCATGGTGTAGGTGTGGTCCAGTCATCGTCAGGTGTAGTGAAGATAGTGGGTCTCATTCCAGAAATAATTTGGTGTTTGGTGTCTCAGCTCCATAATATATATACATTAGACATACTGGACATCTGTACAGATGTGATTGGGAGCTGTTTTAGAGAAATATGATATCTCCCCGACGCCATCAAATGTGAGTCTCCTGACGTGAGTCACAGATCCAGTGACCATTCCTTCATGGATAGTTGGGGAACCAGCTTAAACAAGATCCATCCGAGTGACATCACCAGCTAGAATTACTTCATCAAACATCTGCTAAATCTGGAAAGGTCTCCGAGTGGGATCTGTGAAAATCATTTGAATCCCCAACTATTTCAGCACCGACTTCACCTGCCTACATCATGATCTTTCCCGACTTAGATTTATAACCCCTCATATCCCACCCTGAAACAGTCAAGATGCTGCCACCATGACCAATATAAACAGATTTTCAGCCAACCTCGAGACTATCTTGATGAAATCAGAATCAGAGCTAATTAATTGTGTTAATTACCAAATTACAACTCTACAGATGCGGACCATATGCTTGATGTGGGAAACATTGATTGTCGTAATGGCCGCTCACAGCATTAGACCAATCATTGTTCCATTACAATCAGACTTCGATAAGCAAATTAGCCCAATGTTCTCCGTGCTACCCGTTGTGTCATGAGTAGTTGGAGACAAAGTCGTCATGGGCAACATGTTTGTTCAAGGTCAGGCAGATAGCTGAAGGTCAACATTAAAGAAAGAGCATCCTGTCTAGTGGTCAGATGTGCGTTGGTCCTTCATTGTAAGGAACAATACTTTTAACTCAGTAATGTTTGGTTACAGTCAAGATTCCATGTAAACATTTCGAGGAAAACAAGAATGTTGCTGGCTTAGAGAATATTCTGGAAAAACAAGTATGCTGGTTTATGTAATGGAGGATGATGATGGTTGGAGCTTGGGTCCATTCTTCACAGACGGAGATGCTGCAACAGAATGGACAGAAGAACCAGTGGGTGTTGTACAGTGTCCTGTTGAATATACACATCCAGAGAAAAACAGATGCAAAAAAGAAAATACTAAAATATATTTAATGTTAACGTCAGATAATACAGCGTTCCATTATCTACAGGTACAGATTTTAAATGGCAAAACAACAGTGAAGCTAGACTAACCCTTAGACTCTGAATATATATTATTTTGATGGTAATAAATAAACCCATTCAGATTGAAAAGGAGACCCAGTGAGTTGGAAAATTCAGAAGGGAATCTAGACTTGCTTCATTTAGGGCTTTGCAGGGAGGGCTAGGCAGTAGGGAAATAATGTGGTTTCAGGGACTGTTAGACAGACTACATTGCAGGGAGGGCTAGGCAGTAGGGAAAATAATGTGGTTCAGGGACTGTGAGACAGACTACATTGCAGGGAGGGCTAGGCAGTAGGGGAAATAATGTGGTTTCAGGGACTGTGAGACAGACTACATTGCAGGGAGGGCTAGGCAGTAGGGGAAATAATGTGGTTCAGGGACTGTGAGACAGACTACATTGCAGGGAGGGCTAGGCAGTAGGGGAAATAATGTGGTTTCAGGGACTCAGCGAGGCTTGTATGAATGAATCACTGAAACCTGACGACACCTGGTGTCCACCAGAATGTGGTTAACAGGCACTGGCTTCCAGGAAATGCATGAATTCCTGGTTACTTCATTCTCTATACTCACTTAACAGGTATAAGTTTGTAGTTTGAGTTTGCCATTGTCAAGATCGACAGGTTATTGATCGATGCATCTCAGATGTCCATGACTTACTAGTATCTGTCATACAGTGAGTGAGTGAGTTTGGTTTTACGCCGCTTTTAGCAATATTCCAGCAATATCACGGCGGGGGACACCAGAAATGAGCTTCACACATTGTAGGGGGGGATTCAAAACCGGGTCTTCAGCGTGACGAGCGAACGCTTTAACCACTAGGCTACCCCACCGCCCCATCTGTCATACAGACCCTGAATCAAACATATCAAGAAACCCCATGCAGGTCTAGACTAATGAAGTTCAGTTAAGAAAGTCTCTTGCTTCCTTTTATTATAATTCATTAAGATATTTAAGAAATGTTTTTCAGTAAAATATGTTCATTTCAGATGTTTGTCTTTTCAGGACCTGCTGTCACGTCTTCCATGAACGAGAGTGGCGGGGTAGCCTAGTGGTTAAAGCGTTCGCTCGTCACGCGGAAGACCCGGGTTCGATTCCCCACATGGGCACAATGTCTGAAGCCCATTTCTGGTGTCCCCCGCTGTGATATTGCTGGAATATTGCTAAAAGCAGCATAAAACCATACTCACTCACTCACACCATGATACAACAGGAAAAAACATATGCAGCACTGTTAATCATTTACTTTTGGTATAAGTGTACATGCCACATTTAGAAGCGTAGACATTTATAAATGGTGACATTTGACAGGTGATGTGGTATACTAAAGAGAACTATACAATTATAACTATCATTTGGTGGTAGAAAAAAATCATCAAAATCACAAAATGAAGACCTCTTCATTTATAAAATGCTGCATATTATTCTCCCTGATATTGTATTCTAACAGGCATCGAGTCACGTATATTGCCTTAATTTACGATGTTTATTGTTTGACGCCACACTCAGCAATTTTCCAGCTATATGACGGCTACAATTCTGTATGCTGAACACAAGTTTCTTTCTCACCTTCACAACGCCACTGATATTCGTATGGGCCAAACCAGTACAGTGTCTGAGGACATGAACCTGATGGTACAGTACATGGATGTCAGTTTCAAACAAGTTATTGTCACATGATTTATTTCCGCTCTGTATTTTAAATAAGTTGATCCATGATCAAGGTGATAAATAGTTGGCCAAAAAAATGCCTGGGTAGCACTTTCTCTCATGATCTGAAGAGCTGTGTGCAGCCATCTCTGACCAACATGTCAGAAGTCATTGTCTGGAAACCCTTTCTCTTCCTATTGCAGCGTGCTGGTACCTCGTTTGTCTGATGCACTGGACAGCCTTGTGTGGATTCTCCATTGTACTCCGTGGAAGATTCAGCTACAGGCAGTGAAAACCACTGTATAATTCATATAACAATGAGCTGTGAAAATACACATTGATGAAAGTGTAGGTGAATAATAAACTGGTTTTGTTAATTCATTGTATTCTTGAATCATTGGTCAGCCATGCATGTTGCCTACAACATCACTTGCTTGACGACATTAGAATCTATGTCCAAATGTCACCTTTCACAGAATGAAGAAGTAGTATATCCATAAAATTATCATCATTCTACAACAGAAACATCTAAATAAATAAACTTCATTTGATGTACGACGGACATGGATTTACATCTTTGCTAGAAGCAAGGATAATTACAAGGGCTAACTGTCTTAAAATGTGTTCTAATTTACAGAAAATTAGAATGAATAGAGGAATTTATTTGTCAATATCAAACTTACATCAATACAGCTTGTGAAGGGACGAGGTGTATAAAGGCCCTTTTTTTGGAATACTGAAAATAAAGTTATAAAGTTTGTAGTAAACTTGGAATAGTACTGTCAAGTTTGTCAGACATAATTGATTGATTGAAAACTGTTTTCTCTCTTCTAGTGTTTTTCAATGTTGCACTAGTTTGGCCTTCTGACTTTAATCCAGTACACAAATATGAATAAGTCTGGGTAAAGTCATGTTCATTCCTTTTAACTTAAAGTCCAAACTATTATCACCAAAGTATTTTTCTCAGCACATTATGTTTTCCGAGGAAACTCAGGTTGGGTCAAGGGCTTGCTCCTGTTCAAATAGAATATCATTCCCAAACCTCTAAATAACTGTTTTTGACGCTTGATGTTGCAATAAGTCAATAAACTAGTCCGTCACACAGACCCTGAAACAAATATATTCAACACAGCACACTCACAACTCTGATAGTGGGGGAATCATGACTACCCCAGTTTCGGAAGTCTTCAGGATCCTGTATGTAATTACTAAAATAATTTTTCACCCGTTTCTCTTTGAAATATTTTCATTTCATTTGTGTGTTAGGCTTATAAAAAACATACAAAACTTGAAATAATTTCAATTTGAGTCACCGATTGTGAAGATTTGCTGCTGTCTAAAATGATGTAAATACTGGGGTCGAAATGAGTGAGTGGGTTGGTGTTTACATTGCTTTTAGCAATATTCCATATCATGGCAGGGGACACCACAAATGGGTGTCTTACATTGTGTCCATGTGGGGAATCAAACCCGGGTCTTTGGCATGACAAGCACTTTAACCACTAGGCTACGTCAGCGGCCCCATCTTGACAACAGGAACACAACCACTGTGTCAATAAAACTGACGTATGATATACTGACTGTTCTGCCTTGATGTTGATGTGGAATTGTCTGAATCAATCAGCTCTAAATATTTCTTCTGTATCATTACCAAGCCTTGAAACTAGAGACCTTACACGAAACACGAACAATACAGTTAATTACACATCTATTTAACTTTGCGATAGCATTACGGGGAGCTTCGATAATTTCTGTATTGCATGGCTGTTTCTAAAGTTATGTTTAGAGTTAGATTAAAACCGTGCCATGAAAAGGCTATCTAACAAACAGAAGACATATGACTGACTGACTGAATTTGGTTTTACGCCGCTTTTAGCAATATTCCAGCAACATCACGGCGGGGGACACCAGAAATGGGCTTCACACATTGTACCCATGTGGGGATTCGAACCCGGGTCTTCGGCGTGACGAGCCAACGCTTTAACCACTAGGCTACCCCACCGCCCCAGAAGACATATGAACAAATGTATTTACTTACACACGTGTGCTATTTACTTTTGCGATGATGATTTCTGTATTTCACTTTAATTTCTGTATTACATGGTTGCATCTAAAGTAATGTTTAGAGTTAGATTAAAACGGAATGTTTATAGTTAGATTAAAACCGTGCCATGAAAAGGGTATCTAACAAACAGGCAGACACATGAACAAATATGTTTACTTACTAGTGGTGGTCCGATTAATTGCAATAATCGAAGATTGGTTGCAATGACTAAACGACCAAGCAATCGATCATGTTTTCTCATAATCGAACACAAATAATTTGGCACACTTGTTTGCATTACCATTTTTCACAAGGTTGGTTTTGTCTGTTACATTTCATAAGTACTACAAGCTCGTTCCTTGTCATGATTGAAATTATCTTAAAGATTCCAGGAAATTTATGTTCCTAACATGCTAGTCCTCCTGTAAAGATGTGAAATTTGTAAATGCATTTTGCAAAAAAACACTGAAAGAAGTACGTTTTTTCTATATTTTTGTGCATTAACAAACAAACAGGAGAATTTGATAAATCACGCTAACCAATTTTTTTCGATGATTGATCAGTTGTAATGAACCAATCATCAATTGTTAGATATTAACCAATTCCCAACACTATTACTTACACACCTATTTAATCTTGTGATAGTAATACAACCCTACAAGAGGCGAGCTAAGACGATTTAGATATTGCATGGTTGTTTCTGTGATAGTGTTGAGTTAGATTAAAGCAGTGTCATGAAAAGGATATGTAATAAATACAAAAAAGTCATGCTAGTGCATTTAGACCTAATGTATTGCTCTTGAAGATGTCATAACAGGAATGAAACAACTCGTTTCTCTATAACAGAAGAAATACAAATGAATGTTCAATAAATACTTCACACTGGTCTCCATTCTAAGCAATACTGGACGTTTCACTGACAACCTGAGCCAGCCCAATCATATACTAATTACGGCACTTTTATCACCAGGTAAAGTAAATACAATAATTGTATTAAGATGACCTCAAGAACAAGAGCATTTATGTAACAAAACCTGACCGTCATTAAAACATGTTACACAATGAAATTCTATCCAGGGTATTACAATGTTTGTACAGATAGATGGTTTCGTGGAGATACTAATTCCCTCAAGACTCATCTGGATGTTTCAGATTAAATTTCTAAGCATTTTCCTCTTGCCTTAATGTGAGGCCCTGCTGAGATGATGGTGTAACAAGATGGAAGGAGGACATGAAGATTGGGGTGGTCAGATCACCTTGGCAACTCGCCCCCCTACCAGGAGGGAAGGCTCTTTGTCCACAGACAAGTGATGGCTGACCAGCCTGGGAGAGGTATTGCTGTGGCATGTGAGGAAATAGCAGCCATGATGGATAGATTTATGAGTTCAGAGCTTGCAAAGGAAGTTGAGACTGTCACAAAGAAAGCCGAACTCAGCTTACAGTCAATTCTCCATGATGATCGCAACCTGTACAAAAATATGTCTTTACAAAAAATGTTCAAGGTTGAGTTCAGAGGGTCAGGCTAAGAAGAGTTTAAAAAAAATATGTTGGTACTTTGACAGGCTTTGATCCACATGCATTGACTTTTGATGTTACAGAATTAATTCTGATAATTATGAGGTCCTTTCAAAAGCGTTCCAAGAGTGCTAGTCTTGACAACTTTTCACTTGTCACGGACTTGTGGACAACGAGTAACAATGGCAATGGTGACACGCTCCATTAGAAACTAAGAACAGAAAACAAGGACTGGTTATATTGTACTGGATGTGGGTCCCGTTTTTAAGAGTGCCACATATACTGTTTCACTTCACAAAAACAGAAGAATCTTTCATCCATAGCTTGAGGTTGTAGCAGCCTTGCTTCATGACACGATGAATGTAACACCAACAATCAAACTATAAATTATTCACTTTTATTTCATCTGATAAATTTACATAGCTTACACCCTCAGTTGAAATCTTTAAAATAAGTCATTTAAAATAAGTAACATATAAATTCATTCTAGAAATGCATTTATGACTTATCATAAAGACAACACCTTTCGGCTGCAACTAAAATAACAAGGAACTAGTATGTACAACACAAATGTTTGTAACACTGAAGAAATACTTGCCTTTATGCTTCGGTAAGCTTATACACATAAAACTGGACAACCCCAAATATGCTGTTACGTAAAATCTTCACATGGGTTGACCATAAACAAAATAATCTTTTTTCCATGAATAAAAGAAAGTAATTTCTTAATTTGATCAACAGAAAGGTGACATGTTATGACAATGGATGTTATATCTCATGCTTTTAATAATTATGCAAAAAGAAAATCTAACTTGGCTAAGGAGAGTTTTTCATAAACAAAATTAATTTGCATTTGCAAAATAAATTTCATTTTGCCATAGAGACCTTGTATTTGTAAAGAAATTTGAGATCCAAGACATTAGAATTTGTTTAACACATCTTACAATGATTGAGATCATTTATCTGTAATACTTTCACAGAAAGGTACCCCATTCTATGCTATCATAGCTAATGTTTTTGGAAAAAACAATAAAAACTTTTATATTTTTTTTCACCCTTTTCACATTACTATACAATAGTATCAGTACTATTATGTACAGGGAATAATTCATCATGAACTATTCGTGAAATTAAGTTAATTCATGTATAATAATAATATCCACCTTAAATACTTTACCACATCAGTATACAGTCACTATCTAAGCAGTTAAATAGTTGAAGAAAAAAAAATATAAATAACTTTGTTTTTAAGTTAAGCCCTCTATTTGGTGTTGTATGCATTTAATCACACATGAAGAAAACATATTGCAGAATCTACGCTGCTTGGCAGTGGTTTGAATGGTGATGAATGATTTTTTTCGTTGACACAAAAATAACATTGAAGTAGAAAAATATTGAGCACTATTGCATTTTGCAAGTCAAAATGGAAAATTATCTTTTTGGTCAAATTTATGAACACATTGGAAATGTCAAGTATTCAAACTGCCCTTGCTTCTGACTAGTTCAAGCCGTTAATTGCGTAGATTTGAACACACGATGCCTGAAGTCAGGCAGAACCAGTTTTTACTGGCAGAGACTAGTTGAAGGTTCATTGCGTTCATTTTCACACTGAACATTGTTCATTCACATTTGACACTCGTTCACATCATATCCTTTGCTCGATCAAGTCTATATCTTGAACAGCATCATCATTCTCTGTATGATGCAGAGAACCCATAATTGCATGTGCCCCATAATTTAGGACTGTCCCATCTCGGGGCGTTCACAGAATCTGGCGCTATCATCACGGAGGAAACAGTGGCAGTCAATCACACCGGTTTGCCACGATGGCCGACTTGCAGGAGGCAATGTCGGCGTAGCTGTGAGTTCGGACTAACACCTTTGTTAGTTGTGGTTCACATTAGCTGTTAGGGAAACAGCATTAGTTTACGCTCTGTTAGGGAAACAGCATTAGTTTATGCACTTTGTAGATGGAGTTGATTTCATGCTACGTCTCCCTGTTTGTGGAGAGGTAATGGCTTCTCATCACTGTTTGGTGGTGTAAGTAACGTGATGACTTGAGATGTTATGTCTGGTGATCTACGAGCTGCGTTCATGACCTCTTCCTGTCGACTTTGAGCTTTTTCCTGTAATAATAAAATCAATATTAAGTTCAAAGAAAAATAGGTTTAACGTCAACAAAATTACTTTAAGAAGTAGAAATCTTCTACAGTTATCTAATTTAACATGACATTCTTAATGCATTCTTTTACAGATAAAATATTTATTTATAGAATTTATAAATTTATTTATTTATTTTTTTAAATTTAAATTTCTTGAAAACACAATACTAACCAGTAACGTGAGATCTATGTTGTGAATCTGGATATTATGACAGTCTTCAGACGGGACAGTAGGAAAGAACTTGATTTCAACAGGGCCATCCTCCCTGACTGTGACAGCAAACGGAGACATCCACTGCACACACGGCAAAATATCTTGCCAGCTCAAACCTGGAACACAAGTAAGTCAAACGGTCAGGAACAAGCAGATTCATGGGAACAATACAATTTCAGGAGTAAATATACTTCAGTCAGTGTTGGAATTATTTTTTTTATGTATATTTTGATTGACATTTGTACATACCTGAAACAGCAAGAGCGACATCTTGTGAGGTCATGTGATAGAGTGCTGACGCAGCAAGAACGCTGTATGTGAACTGTAAACATCCCAGGTCCAGCATGCACACGTCCAACAGCTAAAATAAACAGGACAATCATTAAATAAACAGCAAAACTCAGAGTAATACGTGAATCCGACAAAAAAATTAAAAAAATAGACATGAAAAAATATTAATAGGGTTTTTTTTGTACAAAACATTGACACAATATCTGAACTGAATTATGATATCTTTATATTAATTTCAGACTACATATTTTCAGGAAGGTTGGGACAAGGAGAGCTGAGTTTCATAAGCTTGAGCACTTACCCTTGCAATCTGGACAAAGGCGTGGCCTGAGAACTGTGGGAAGACAAAGCCATCCTCGGCCTTGACGATCTGTTCCATGTTAGCAACCTGGAGGTACACAGATAACCATGCGTTGCAGGTCATGGGGGGACAGGTCCCAGTTCAGGGCCTTGAGCATGACCAACTCCTGGTCCAGGATTTCCTCCTCTGTACAAGCACCATCCGTTACGTATGCGAACTCCGTCAGTTTGGGTGGGTAGATCTCCTCCAGCTTGGCAGCGATGAAGAGTGCTGTGATTCCCAACAGCTGGAGGTTGTGTTTCATTACATTACGCTTCTGGGAGAGGTAGCGGTCGATGAAGTCAATGGCGAGGTAGAATGTCTCACGGTGAAGCCTGTACACCTCGCACACCTGAAATAGGCAACAGAAGCTGTTAAATCTGAATTTATCGTGAGATGACACCTCCAGCAAGGTATACATTCCTTCGGAGTAACTAATCTATTACACAATATATATTAGTGATAATAACACACCCTGACTTTAGTCGCAGGTCCAAATCTTGTATCTAGGACTAAAGCAATCCCAAGAACAGTGAATGATAACAAATATCTAGAAAGTAGATGAAAGGTTTGGACTGCTGTTATTTACCTTGCATAAAAATGTTGCTGAAAGAACCCTGATTTAACAGAAAGCACAAAGACTAAGAGGCAACAGGAAAATATAGTTTCAACTGAAAACTTAATATTGTGTTATCAAATTGAGGGTTTGAATTGAGAATTTGGATCAGAGGAAAATTGCCATCCCTGGGAAGCTGAGAGAAACAAAGCTTACCTCAACAAGCCAGTCAAGGAGGATAGCCTTCATCCTTGGCTGCAGAGCTGGATGTCGGTCAAACATGTTCTGATCCCTGACATACAGAACCTCCTTCTTCAGCATCAACTGCCACACCTCCTTTGAGTCTGCCCATGTGAACTTGGGGAGTGGGGATGATCGTGAAGACACTGGTGTAAAATAGTTCTGGAACCGGAACTGAGTTCCGATAAATTTTGCCGGCGTGATTTCCGGTTCGGGTGTGATGGTGGTGCTGGGGATGATGGCGCATGATGTCACCGACGAATCCTCGGAGATGGGAATCCACTGATTCTAAAACAGCAAAGAAAGAAATTTTGAATCATAATGCTAACTTCAACAAGCCAGTCAAACATTTCTAGTTGACTCTAGTGGAATATTTGTAGCATGCAAATATGTTGTGGCTCAGGAATACATTACAGGGAAGGTTCAGCAGACACAGGATTTTATCACAATTTGACCATATGGTCGGTCCCTTGGTCAGGGGCTATAGCTTGAGGGCAGCCTCCCTACCACTGGGCTGTCTGTCCTGAGACACCCACCTGCTGCTGGCTGACCAGCTTGCCTCGCTGACCAGGTGGTGGTCAGGAACAATGGCTGCTTGTGGTTCATGGGTAGGATCTCCGAACAGGAGCCCAAAACATTATCAACTAATAACATTAAACTTAAGAGACAGTAACTATGACATCAGAAAGAAATGTCCTTGCACTAACTATGAATAGAAATTGGCCTTTTTGATGGGTTTGGCTGGATGTTTGCATTACTGAACATGTCTGTCCCTGAAATGTTTTGGGAATCCTCCATGAATAAGGGGTTTGATTTCCCCTCCATGGATTCATCAAAGTGTGTCAACTAAACGTTTAATTCAGATCCATGCTCTCCTATAAAACCAATGTCATGGTTATAGGAGGGATCATAAAAAAATACAGTCAACCTCAATACAGAAACATGTTAACATTTCTGGAGAATCCTTTCATTATTCAATGCTTCGGTAGAGCAAAAAACCATCTTAGTTACAAATGAACTTGGTGATATCTGTTCCCACCACCCAGCCATGCATGACAAGAATGTTCCCAGTCGTGGGAAACGCCAGGTTTAGATATAATGTGGATACTGTGTCCCATTGATGACTAACTATACCTCCACCCTACATATACATCTACAGAGGGTCTCACAATGTTGTCCATTAAATGACACGGCCTCTATGGGGGGCTTCAGGGCATGAATTTAAATTTGCTGTGTTCAGCAGAGCTGGACCAAAGAACGTTACAAGTTTTCCAACAGGAAATTTATAACTGGTGTTGATAACAGTTTTGTGGCAATGGTGACATATACAACTCAAACAAGTGAAGAATTTCTTTCAAAATGACCATAGTGATTAGTTAGTGCATCTTGGCATGTAATATATACAGTACACCTTGGCATGTAATATATACAATTCAAAAGAACACCTGAATAGTAATGTGGAAGAATTGCGTATATTTTCTGTACCATGACACAAACGGATGTAGGTCTTAATGAAAAACAAACTACTTTGACAAGATTTGACACAAGAATGCCCAGACAAGAGAACCAATGACTAACTCCTAGATCTGTTTAATGTAAAGCATGTGTGGGCCAGCACACCCACCAACCACATGTGAAATGAAACCAAACACAAACCTCATCTGGAATGTCTGCACAAGGGCAGGATGTGGCTGTGTAGTAAACCATGATCCTTGAAGGTATTTGTAATCCACTGCTAGGTCTAGAACATGAGAGACTACCTCTCACAAGTGAAGCTCAGTCACAACTGACCACTGACCCAGGTCCAAGCTTCTTTATACCCCTCCAGACCACATGCTCAAAGAATGCCCTGACACTAATAACAATTAATGGGGGAGAGGACAGCCCTGCAGTACTCCAGTCTCCTGCTGTAGCCCTGCTGGCCACCTGCTGATGAGGCCAGGGATTGGATCAGTCACGCTTCACTGACCAAGGGTCACACTCTACTGACCAGTGGTGAGGCAGGTGCTTGTGGGGGCGGAGCTTGGGAAGTGGTCAAAGATGATGTAATATGAACCAACAAGATACAAACATGATGAGGGAATTGGAGGAAGAAAATTTGGTAATAGTGAAAAAGGGGAGGAGTTTGAGGTACAGAAATGGGCATGTGGGGGGCGGACCAAGGGGCTTTGTTTATCTAGTGTGGGGATAAGCTGATCACAATGGGATGAGGTGTAGTATGAATAACTGTACACTTCCTGCTGTGGGGTGCTGGCTCATCACCTGGGATGCTGAATTCTGTTGTGTAATAACACAAGTGTGACCAGCACTGCATGGTGGCAGCACATGCTTGGTGACAATCATTAAAAACAATTTGGGGCATAATACATTTCAACACTTTGCTTATCACAACTTTATTGAAACAGATCAATATGACAGTGTTGGGAATTGTGGCTTAGATCATCGCCTATGTTCCAGAAAGAAGTGATGACAGGTAACACAATCATCTCACAGTTAGAATAAAAGTAACAGTAGTGAATTTGTAACGGGACTTTGTAGAGCTGGGTGTCACCGATGTCACAAATGCTGTACAGTCAAGTTTCTTTCTTGTTGATCAATATTAAACAAAGAGAAAGCACTAGATGCCTACAAGTGAAATACAAACTAAGGTTTTTAAGAAACAAAGAAATATTTTAGTTTCATGAAAAGACCAAAACAATTAAACGCCTAAACTTGTCCAACTGACGTAATAAAATTTAAGGTCAGTCTTACGGTATACATTTTATTAGCAAAACTGAATGGACAGAAAGTTTTACTGGACTCAGAGACAATAATATTCAAACTTTTCCCATTGTACACAACTAAAATTAGGACAAAAGAATTGAATTTTACACTTCACAAACAAGCACCAGCAACAAAAGGAAGTCGACTTCCCCAAAGCAACAGCTGTCTGATACGGGATTACATCTATATCCTGCTCCTCCTAGACAACGACCTCAGCAATAAAACAGATATACCCCTGGAAGATCAAAGGCCAGGCAATCATTGTTACCTAACATTGTCTAGAGGGCCAAGTAGATGTGGGCAGTGTGTACACTGGGGAGGACGACTTTATTGATAATGTGGATGTACATCAAGTAGGTAAGGAGGGGATGTAGAGTGGACATAGGGGTCGGACAGATTGGTCAGCTACTGGACAGGTGGGACGGGCTGATTGTCATGCTTCGTTGACCTGACTTCAAAGGAATTCTAGAGTCATTTACAAGATACAGTACTGTTAGACATAACTTCATACCGTTATATGGTACATTCCGTGTGAATATCTGGGTAGTGTTTAACAGTAAATGCTGCATCAGGATATGGAAGGTTTATTTTGTTTCTGTATTAAGGAAAGTATCACGTTGTACAAAGGAAGACTTCGAATAAATCGAAATCTTAAAACTTGTTGTACTATAGCACGAGAAACATTGGTAATAACAACAACAACAAAGCAAACAGGCACAAGAAACTTCAGAAATTCTTTTTAAAATTGTCCACAATTTCACCATTTAATGACTCAAATGTTCTTGTGTTGGACACATGGATAGACTTCCCCGGTTTGGTAACTAAGCTGACCGAATCTAAATCTGGAATAGCTGATGAAAGGTGTACACTTTCTCCAAGAATGACTGGCTTTAAATTAGGACCATAATTATACAGTATGTTCAACATTTAAGACTAATGTTAAGTGTCATATTGGAAAAGTAATATTGAAGGGGTTCATAGATAGAATAGAGTCACTACAGCAAAGCAGCTTCAGAATTTCAAACACAATGACTAGCTGCAACCTGACAAAGGAACATGTTATGATGACTCTTTACTTAATTATTTCTCAGTTCCTTCTGTATGACCTTGGGCTATAAAATAACTGTACCTGACCCGTTCTACTACAAACAGAATTACAAGTTACATGGAGCATTGTATACCTGATGACCTCAAGTGACCAGAGGCCAGAAATATCACCTGTATTCAGTATGGTCAACATTGTAACAGAACTGCTAGAACTTAGGGGATTAGGAAACGACAAATGTTTTATTTGTGCAGGACTTGCACCATGGAGCATTTCGTCACGAAACAGTGAATATATTTTGAAAAGAACCAGGGGAACAGATTAATGTACGAAAGGTGTCAGAATGGTGCGAATAAATTGAATATAAGGAACTGATCCATAAGGAAAAGTGCTTTCAAATCACAGAACCATTTGTTTCTTCATGAGGTTAGTCAGACTTATAGTAAGATGAAGAAAAGTGCAAACGAACTGAATCAAGGCAGAAGCATATATTACACATTCTTATGAAACAAAAATATAAAGAACTTCAACTTCGTTAATTAATACCTCATTGTCATGCTCATTCTGAAAGACAATAAATTCTTAAAAGAAAATGTATGAAAATCCATACATGAAAAAGGTCCGACACTTTTATTAAATGTACTGTCACAATAAAGCGTTGTCAGCATTTAACTTCCATTAACAAAATCGTATAAAACTTCATTAAAGAGTGACAAGTTTGGTCCAAGGTGCTAACTGTCACCATGCTGAACCCAGCTGGAGCCGACACTCTACCCTTCCTGTTTGATTACCCCCAACTGGAGCCAGGGACCCCCCCTCCCTCATCCCTCAAGACCTCCTGTGGAGACTCCTCCCATTCACTCCTGTCTTAACCATAAGCTGTAGTGTCATAATCCTTTAGTTCTTATTAGCCAACAACAACAAGCCTTGCTCTGTGACAGGGAAGATAATCCTTCTCATTAACAGTACAGTTAATTGACCTCAGCTAGGAAATTAAAGATAGCAGTATACATGAAGTGTCACTGTGTTGAGATGAGTCTTGAATGAATCAGTGTCACAGGATAGAGCAGTGGCCATTATTTTCTGTTACAGAAGCTAGTTGGGTTAGTTTTGATAAACTTGCAATTAACTACTCAAACAGCATCTTGCTGTTGATGGTACTGTGTGATGAAGCAGCGTTGTCTCAAAACTTCATGAATACTGATTTTTCAAATGACTGGCATATGACCAATGATCATACAATGGACAAGGTAAACAAGTAGCCTCTTATGAAACAGGAGAGAGATTGAAAATCCCACAAGACAGGCTAGTAAAACTGAAATGTCTGGGGCAGCTGCTTTTACTATTAGGTACAAGTCAGCATATTTTTGAAGGCAATTGAAGATATTAAATTTCTAAACCTGAGATTCATTTACGCTTTCTTTAGTTTTTATTCTATAGCAATATTTTGTTCAAATTCATTACTGTCCATTACAAATCTAAAAAAAAATTTTTAAATAAATAAAAAATAAATAATAATAATAATTTTTTAAAAATTAACAAAGAAGAGAAGGACTTTTTAAAAACCAATTATTCCTCGCTAAATCACTGGTCCCAGCAATTATTCCCACAAAGTATTTCAATAAAGGGATGCATTACTTTTATATTTGTTAATATCAGGGATTTGATTCCATACTGGTCAATAGCGTCAAATTCTCAGAGATTTATATATGTTGGAATATTTTGAATAAGTGCATTCAAACAAAAGACCGACTTGTTTCTTCATGAGGTTAGTCAGCCTTACAGTGAGTTGATAACTTGAAGTTTCCAAATGTGTGTGAAGTCATTGATCTGTTTGACATGGTTTCTTTTACATTTCCTCAATGAATCAATCAAACAGAGAAATTTAATCCAACACCCAAAACATGTACACCAAAATGTCATCTACCCCCAACAGTTTCTCCCATTGACAGAGAAAAGAACCCACATTTGCCCTATGGATGATTGTTTGAAACAGACTGAAATTGACACATCCCAAACTTAAAGCATCATCTATCTCCACCCAACTTCAATCACTGTCACAGTCAGACTGATGAGACACATTACCAATGAAATAGACAACGCTGACATCTGATATCGACAACCAACAACCTGTAATTAACAACAGGAGAAATAAATGCCGGCTCTCATTACTTGAGGTAGGATAACAAAGTTACATCACCCCTGGCAGTGGCCAGTGATTGGTCAGTGTACTGGTCAAGGAATTCAGAAGTCAATCACGGTGTGGTGGACATGACCTGGTGTTATATCACTGACCTACTGACACAGGGTTAGAGATCCACACACTACAAACACAACACTAACCATTCCCCTGCAATAAAGACATGGCCACTGGTCTTAAAGTTAAGAAATTTAAGACTTCCAACCTGTCTTTTATTAGAGGAAAGAGCAAGAAACACGACATTAAAACCTTACAGCATGTTTTAAATGAGAAATAACAATAAAAGGAAATGGTTTGTTGCAGCAATAATTGTTCGTCTTACATCACAATGACTCATCAGTAACCTTGAACTAAGACAGATCTAGTTCGTGAGAACTTTTCATAAATAATTAACTTTTTGCAGAAACTGTAAATAATCCAAGCCAAACCCTATTTTTTATAAGCTGACACTTGAATTAAAAAGGAAATCAAACTTAATTATTCATCAAGCAGTACAAAACTTCCACTGCTGACAACTGACTAAAAAGTCAATATTGCAGGTGTTAAACAGAAATGATGCTTAACCCCAGTACGTCCCCACAAACCTCTTGCACCTGGCTGAGGGGGGGAACAACCTTTACCTCTACATCACATTCTGATGAGCAGATGATTGTACAGAAATGTGCCCAATAACCAGTTAACTATCCTACATCTAACAATACCAGAGCGTGTGCCGGCTACCTCAAAGGCTTATGAGGGGGGAGGTTCACAATGCTACGGTTATATGGAAATGACAACACCTGTTCCTTGACCAAAGTTTTTCCTACCAGAGTTCACAGCTTTATGATAAAAGATCAAACCAAATAAAGGAAAGATCAAATTCCCCCAGTACGAGCAGACAGCAGAGGCACGCGCCATCTAATTTTCAATGAAAAGATTATAATACAGGGAGGCTGTACCGTTGAGCTGAGTAGGGCCAGGTAATGCCTCATTTGCATACAGCTGGGGGGTCAGGCAGATGTAGAGGAATGCCCTACCCCCATCCCCTCAGCTGTGGCAGAGGTAACAAAGCTGAATCAATGAACCGTAAATAGTCAATTCAGCAAAACACAACATCAAACAGTTAGTTAAATGGCTGTGTAAATCTTAATTTGCAGTCAGATATTTTTCAAATAAAGAAATAACAAAAATACATTTAGAAATCTGCAGATACTAGTTTTGACTGAATATCGAAAGTATTTTGTTTTTAAATTATCAAGGTAAATGTCTGGTTGAACTTTGACTTGCCAACATGAGAAAAATGAATAGTAGTGCGTTATTACCATGTTTCAAACAGATTTGCAGGGAAAATATATGAAATAAGAATATAATTGATAACATATTTTCATTTGGTCAAACTCAACTCAATAACTTTCATATGACAATCTGCAGATCAAACACATTGAAACATTGTTTGGTGGACTTAATGAAATAATTTGTTAGAAATAAACAAACAGGTTCATTGATATACATATATATATGACACACATCTGCATCATGGTTTATCTTGCACTGACAGGGGAGCCCTGTCCATGATATTGTAATGTTTTTCGTAAGTAGTCCAACCAGTTTTATAACATGAAAAATCGCTGATCTAGAAAGAATTTACATAACTTTATATTAAAAACTATACAACTGAAAGATTAGAATTTCCAGCAATAAACAACAGCAACTGACAGCTTTAATTTTCTCACTTTGTTCCTTTCTTTAAACAACAAATTTGCAATTAACAAGTGCGTGAGATATCCGTGAATAGGACATGATCGTTCAACAGCTGTTGAAACTGACAGCCAATGGTACACGATGACATTTCGCGCCTCAGAGATCAGGTTCATTTGTAATCCATACACTCTCTTTGGGAGAAGTAGTTTTGTGATTTACACTATATACATTGTAAACAGAATATGTGCATTCCGTTGTTTATAGTTGACACTGACATGCATGCCTATTTCGCGGGATGTAAGATCTGATTGGATGACGGTGTGTCAACTAAGGACTCATGAATATTCATCAGTAACAAAGATGGAGGACAGGTTTTCTAATGAATGAACAAGGGAAAAAATATTCAGAAAAAATAGAAGGCTCGTTGCACAAAATGAAAGCATGACACACAAGACAAATGTGCATATAATCTACAACATATAGAAGTTTCACTCTTGAAAGGTCCTCACGAAAAATATACCCGCGAAATTTTGCGCGGGGGTCTATTTGGGAGGATATGGCGCGAACCTGTCACTTCTGCCCCTCGATCGAGTCACATTTTAGACTAATTTCACAATATGCAACTCACCTGAATCCTAAACTGTTGTCTCCGTTTGTTCACAGCTATATCCCTATCATCGTCCTGCAACAAGAGTTAAAAATGGGGGTTCTAAAGGGTCTAAAACTTAGCGCAATCTGGGTCACCTCAAACAAAGAGGGGAGAAAGGAAGAAGTTTCCAGCATCATAAAATGTTAAAAACTTACCTCCATAGCTTTCCTTTTCCTACAGATGTTGGGTTTGGTCACTACACTTTCGTTATCCTGTGTTTTTGGTCGATTTTGGAGTCTTGCACTGCAAATGAAAGACACATGAAGTTGACTTCTGTTTCGATATGCGACCCGTGTAGGACAGCTCACATCCTAGTCCTACGTCACGATCAAAAGGTCTTACTGTCAACATCCAAAGGAAGAAATACTAAAATTTAACAAACATAATTCTTACCTTTTTCTAGACATCTTCTAAGCTTCAGATATCAGATGTTATCTGAAATGACAGAAAATATGAAGTATATTTTCCGATCACTTGATTACGAAGTCCGGGTTGTCAATTTCTAAACTCCAACGAATCCATTTTTTATGGTTCACACCATTCTGACCATTCTGGTAAAATACGACTGCACATAAATATCGCACTAAATTGTTATTTGACTATTTCCAGCTGATCATTTCAAATGATGAGAAGGCGGGCTCTTTACTCGCTGAAAGAAATGAACTCCATGCCCTATTTCGACATCACCTCAAAACACGTACGACCCCCCTCAGTAAAATAAACCCCACAGGTGGATAATTTTGACAATATAGATAGACGTAATCCTGATTGATATTGTCTCAGCTGAGTGACCAATCACCCTTGTTAATTACACTATAGCTGCAAACTGAGAGCTACCTCTAGCACACGTCTGGCTCCCTTGCCAGCTTGCATTGACTGAGGTGTCACGTCCCGCGCAAACCCATGTTACCACGCAGGGACATTGCGCATGCATCTTTCCCACACAAACAAAAATTTCATTAAATATGTTCAAAATATTGGCCTGATTAGTTTTGACATCAGTCTATAGGAGATACTGACCAAAAAATCGGCCATTCGTCGAGTTAGTAGAAAGAAATTCGATGATAACTTTTCCACCCTCCGACGAGAAAAAGGAACTTCCGAGAGACAACGGCGCGAAAAACAAGATTCACAACTTTACGAAGTTAAAATAATAAAGTTCATGAGATAAAAAACCTTAGATATACTTTTAGTTAACTTCCTGTGTCTTAGAAAGACAAAATAACACTCGGAACACAAGCTTACATGGGTTTCATTCATTCAACACATGGCCACAAAAAGTTGTAAACAAATCGACTCGGTTAGGAAAAAAGTTACACAAGTTCTTTTAAAACGAAGTAAATGCAACTTCATGCATATCATTTTGAAGCTTGTAACGCCAGAAATCTAATGCATTAAGTGACACATGTAAGCGGTATTCAAAATCATGACTTTCAGAGGAAAATTTAGACATAAACACGCTAATGTCATCTCCGAGAATGTGCTTCCGCTTATTTACGCATGCGTGACTATTTGGGTATCCTGATTGGTTGATGGGGACGCCACCTCCCTGACAACGTCACATGTTTGAGAAAATGGCGACGTGTATGGAAAAATTTGTCGGCGTTTTCAAGCAGAAATCTACTGCTATTATTGGCATGATTCATCTAAAGCCTTTGCCAGGTGTTTTAATATCATATTGTCTTTATGCATGATGAAATAAATGCACTATATTGCACACATCACCAGAACAGGAACAGGTGCCCGTTGAAACTCACACCTGCACAGTAGGACAGATCATAGCTAATTGACAAGCCGGTTCTTGTACGTAACAAGGCTTGTCATAGGTCGGGCACTGTGATCAATACATTCCAGTCTCAGATATCACTTGCTGAATGGTGTTGGAGCGAACAAGAAATATTTTTACTGTGCCATTCGTTTTGAAGCAGATTAAATTTTGTGAACTACATCCATGTGTTTGTAAAACAAAGCAGGAGTGTTAGCCAAATGATGTTATTATGTATTGCAAACAATACCGCTGAAAAATAAACACATGTAAGTCGTTTTGAAGTGTCTGAAACATAATTCTTACCTGGCAAACATGTACAGGTATAAATCCAATTAGAACGTGATAAACACAATTTCAAATAGAAGTAAATGGCACCTCAAAGCCAAGCTGTCCACATGTGGTCTGTCAAACTATTTGGCGGATTTTCCACTCTAGGTACATATGATTGGCTCAGAAATAATTCATGCAAATGTAGTCAAACATTGTGTCACATGGGATCTATTTTTACCTATGCCTAGTATAGTTTATGTGGGCAGGGCCAGTGATCACCATGTAAAATCTCAATGAATAGATCTATTTGATTGTGACTTGCTGATTGGTTGTGTTTTCCAATCTCCAAAGTGCAGGCACTATAATTATATCACATCAACACCTATCAGTGTTCAGTTTTGCTTTCCCGCTGATCGTTGTTCATGTTTAGGCTTGCAACTGTGTTTTTATTGATGTGATATTGTTCGATAGTCTCCATGTGCTTTTCCTATTTATAAACTGTAAACAGGAGGGGTATTGATTCATTGATTTACAAACAAGTTAACATGTCGTAGATTTCATATCACCGAGTGATTGAGCCATGAATGTTTGGAAAATAAAATAAACACATCTGTGCATGTAATTTCTACAATTTGGAAGGGTTTGAGCAATTGTTATGGAATACATCCATGTTAAATTTACATCTAAACATATATCATTGAATTTGGGTGATTTTTAAAGTACAGATAATTAAGACTGTTGAATTTGGGTGATTTTAACAGTACATGTATTAGATTGGAGTTAGATGAGTCTAATTTCAAAAAGAAGCAGCAGTTAATTAAAATGTGTGTCATTAATGTTTAATGTAGGATTTTTAATAAACATCAAAACACTGATCCATAATAAATTCACATTTTAACATGACATAACATGTTCTAAAAAACAGTGACACCAGATTTCCCATTTTGTCTCTTACCTATATGTCTATACCTGTACAACTTGGATGTTTCTGAGGTGATCAAGGGCAGTTCCTTATATTGTACCCTGCTAGAATGAGATCACCACTTTTCTGTGATGTCTGAGTGTGTTGTTTCATGGACTTACTGCCACTGTCTTTATAGGGACCCCAAGATATCAGTACTCAATGAAGGAAATCCTCAACTCAGCTGTAAATGAAGCTAAGCTCTACAAAGATGCTGGAGTGGTAAGCTGTTGTTTTCTTTGCCCATTGTTTTAAACACTCTGGTTAATCCTGCTTGAGGCAAAGTTCAATTAAAGAGTTACATATGTCTCCTGTTGAAAAAATATTTGTGTAAAGGAAGACATTTGAAAATGCTATTTCCAATGTTTTCATTGCTTAAAGACTTGGAGTGTGAAGGTTAAAACTGTCTGGAGATACAAAATTTGGATGTGTCGCTATTTGCAGGTTTGTAAGATTTTTTCACAATTAATACAGAAACATTAAAATATTGACACTACTCGATGTACCATTTACTAAAGTCTACTGTTTGACCAATTTAAGACATGGTACTGTGTGAATTATTTAGATTTGTTATTTTTCTGGTGTCTTGTCAGAAACATTTCCACCCGTAACTGCAGTTGTTTTTTTATCATTCTATGCCTAAGAATAGATTTTGTTTGCTTAACACTAACCCTAAACCCTTGAAATAATCCCAATAAATAGAATACATTTAAGGTGGGGGTTATGGGCAGAACTCTTACTGTCTTGTCATATCTGCATAGTTTTAAGTAAGAAAATGTTTCTGCAATATACTTACACTTGCAGTATAAGTAATTTTTGTGTGGAACTGATTATTGTTGACACTTAGTATGTGATTTGTATGTTTACTGTTATGTATTATATTTAGCTAAATCCTATACATTTCGCAGAATACTTGGGAAGGTTTCTTAACCTTGACTTCACCACTCTATGTGTTTATACATCAACTATAAATGAATGTTTTTGTGTGAGAACAGTATCAAGACCTTTATATGTATTCCAACATATTTATTGAGAAATCAGAACTGAGTTCGAGTGACTGTCAAAATTGGGCAAAAACATTTGGGGATATTTTTTTGGTTTTTATGTTTTTATGATATTTTTAAAGACATACACATATTAATAACTGAGCATAAAAGCCTCATCCTCGTAATTCATTCTGTCGTTGAAATGATATAAAAGTTGCTCTGTCAAGCCACAACAGTAAGAAAAACATGAATAACATCAATTGAGAAAGTTGTAAGTTTCATTTCAGAACTTTAACTGACATGTCCTGTACACTTGGGCCCAAATATTGGACCCCTAAGCTGTTCTGGACAATTCCATACATCTTTATACCTTATAACTTCTAGAGAGAGAACCATCATGCCGAGGACCCGGGTTCGATTCCCCACATGGGTACAATGTGTGAAGCCCATTTCTGGTGTCCCCAGCCGTGATATTGCTGAAATATTGGTAAAAGCGGCGTAAAACTAAACTCACTCACTAGAGAGAGATATTCAGTTGAAAGCCCAGGCCAAAAGGACATACATTTTACATAGAATGTAATGTATGCAGTTTACCAAATGTATACATTAGTTTCACTGACTTCTAATAACTAGTCACAGCCTGGGGTACATATCTGTAGTACCTGGTTTAAACATATTTTATTCTATTCAAGAAGAAAGAAAAGGATTGGCAAACAAGACTAAATGGCTTATATTAATGCCGCTCCATAATACATGTGAAGGTTCACATTTGTGCATAATCATGTACATATTTATAGTGGTTATATCAAGTTATCTCTGAATAATAACAATCATGGATATCAACAATTTATCTTGGTTTTGTTTCGTGGCCAGTTGATACAAATCAAAAATAACAGAAGCTACAAAACTTTATGAATCAAAACGTTTTGATGTAATAATGAATTGATGGACTGACCGTAGAATAGCCATATTCGTCTGATGAGATACTGAGTTGTTGCCATTTAGCACATCCCGCAGGGAGAAACCTTTCACATAGAAATACGATTCGTATCGAATGGTATTATATTTAGGACACATGAAAAAATAGTGGAACACATCCTCATAATCTTGTGAGCAGGAACAAGAAGCATTATCAGAAATGAAACGATTATACTTATCACTGTTTAAGTCACTGCATCCCAATCTAAGGCGGCAGTACCTGTGCCGACAACGACCCCTTCCGCGTTATTTTCTGTGCATGATCACTGACTATTGCAGGATGGTGTTATGTTGGAGAATATGCATGATGTGCCCTACATGCATACTGGTCAAGTCGGGCCGGAGATCACCGCTGCCATGTCCGTCATCTGTGCGGAGGTGAAGAAGGTCTTCTACCCTGGTCCTGTGGGGGTTCAAGTGTTGGCCGGTGCCAACATGCAGGCTCTGGCGATAGCTAAAGCAGCAGGTAGGTCAGGATCTTACAAGAAATATTGTTTTCAGCAAGGATTAATCATTGCCAATGATTCAAAGAGCTTTTTAGCAGCAATTTAGTGCTGGATTCCAGTGCTATATAAGTGTATATTTTGATTAATTGGTTCATGAAGAATGTATATGGCGCTGACATCTTATGAGGACTGACTGACTGACTGAGTTTGGTTTTAAGCCGCTTTTAGCAATATTCCAGCAACTTCACGGTGGGGGACACCAGAAATGGGCTTCACACATTGTACCCATGTGGGGATTCGAATCAGGGTCTTCGGCGTGACGAGCCAAAGCTTTAACCTATAGGCTACCCCACCGCCCCATCTTATGAGGAATAAGAACACAAAGATATACGTATTATTCACTACATTGAAACTTTGCAAATTCAGATGGTATTGTTGCCAATAAAATATTTCGGATAACTAATTTTTGTATGAAGCATTGTTGTTATGGAGACACATCCTTTAAATTTGAGAAGACGTTCCATAGGTAATCATCTGGAAAATGGGGTTTCCAAACCAAGTCTGGACTCAAACAGTAGGATATTTCCTGTTCCTGTTTTTACATTGTAGCATGTCCTGACGCATGACACATATAATGACACATGTAATGACACATGTAATGACACATAGGCATGATTTACTGTTTTAGTTTAGCACAATTTGGGGATTATGAATGTCATATTTTTCACATAATGCAGATAGGCCTGATTTACTGATATTCTTTTAACCTGACAAATTTTAGTTCAATGGAGTTGGAGGATTATGAAATCCTTTTTCGTCAGCTTATTTGCCTGAGCTATGATGGGAGAAAAGATATTGTGGTGTGTGGTCAAAGGGAGATAATTCAATACTCTTTGTTTTAGGTTGGCATGAACACTTTTGGTTACACAACACCAAATGTTTTCCCATAGACTTCTATAGTAGCCTTATATTTTTTTAAAAATAATCCTGGCTATCAACAGCCATTCCATGTGCACATGGGTACACTCTGGCCTTTAAACTACCATAAAAACACACTATCTGGCCAACTTGTCCGGCTCGTTTTGCGAGCACAGGAAGCGGAACACATCAACCCCAGATCCGCACCAAATGTCACCTACTGGAAAATATCTGTACACACAATAAGCATAAGTCATGGTGATGAAAATCACAGCACTGAATACTTAAAATTGTGGTCAGTTTTAATTACTGGTTGGATATGCTTTTAAAAAACATAAACATCTTACACTATTTCATCCAATCACAGCTGTCACATGTCTTTATCTCTTCATTTGTTTACATACGCATCTCGCTCAGTGAGCAAGCGATTCTCATTTAGTGTAGTATAACCTGTAGGGCTAGTGGTCTAAGGGAGATAATTCATGTTTTTTTGTTTTATGTAACATGTTATATTTGGGATTACACTTTCTTAGTAAAGTACTAATTCTAGTACTTTTTGAGTTGAGTTTATTTTATGTAAATTGCAAAATCATCATTGGGGTGTGTACACTTTTGGGCTAGTGATCTAAGGGAGATATTTCATGTTTTTGTTTTATGTAATTTGCAAAATCATCATTAATTTTTCCATTCTTTTTGTGTAAGAATAAGATGGCTTATGTTGCGAAGGTTTGTTTCTAATGATTCTTTACTTAAAATGATGTCAAGATGATTTCATATGATGCATGTATATGCACATACATTCCAATGTACTGTCTGATGGTATAAGGGAGACAACTCTGTTTTGGTGATAGACCAGCTTTTATCAAGATTTCAGACAACAACAAAATCAGCAATTTACAGAGGCATTAGGTTCCTTCAAAGGAAATGACAAAAGGTGTAACAGTACAAAGTTAACAACCCATCATATATATACAACAGCCTGTTAAATATGCTACATCCGCACAATCCATCATTTGGTTTCAATGTATCCTTCCGTGTTCAGATTTTGAGGACAGACATTTTTGTTTGTTGTTGTTGTTATTGTTGTTCTTCACAGCTTCATTTACAAAACAACCCTGTGTGGTAGATTTTAATAAATGCACAATATATAAACCATTTAGATTTGTTTTTGTTGTTTAAACCTGAAACATCCATTCATTATGTTGCCGATGGTGAATAATGAACATTGAACAGCAGGATTTTATGTGATAGGAAACAGAAATTATTAATTAATTCTTTGATGAAAAAGAAAGATTTGATCAGAATCAGAGACCTTTTCTACGCCATCCAGAGGTTAGAGTGTTCTGTGTTGGTATTGTTCCCTTCAACATGCTGAGGAAAGAATTGTCAGTGGTGACTTGGTGAAAGGGAGGTAATTCACTGCTTGCTATCTTGGATGCAAATCAATCTTTCAGTGTGTGGTCAAAGGGAGATAATTCAATATGCTTTGTTTTAGGTTGGCATGAACACTTTTGGGCTAGTGGTCTAAGGGAGATAATTCATATTTTTTTGTTTTATGTAACATGTTATATTTGGGATTACACTTTCTTAGTAAAGTACTAATTCTAGTACTTTTTGAGTTGAGTTTATTTTATGTAAATTGCAAAATCATCATTGGGGTGTGTACACTTTTGGGCTAGTGATCTAAGGGAGATATTTCATGTTTTTGTTTTATGTAATTTGCAAAATCATCATTAATTTTTCCATTCTTTTTGTGTAAGAATAAGATGGCTTATGTTGCGAAGGTTTGTTTCTAATGATTCTTTACTTAAAATGATGTCAAGATGATTTCATATGATGCATGTATATGCACATACATTCCAATGTACTGGCTGATGGTATAAGGGAGACAACTCTGTTTTGGTGATAGACCAGCTTTTATCAAGATTTCAAACAACAACAAAATCAGCAATTTACAGAGGCATTAGGTTCCTTCAAAGGAAATGACAAAAGGTGTAACAGTACAAAGTTAACAACCCATCATATATATACAACAGCCTGTTATATGCTACATCCGCACAATCCATCATTTGGTTTCAATGTATCCTTCCGTGTTCAGATTTTGAGGACAGACATTTTTGTTTGTTGTTGTTATTGTTGTTCTTTGCAGCTGGGGCGGTGGGGTAGCCTAGTGGTTAAAGCGTTGGCTCGTCACGCCAAAGACCCGGGTTCGAATCCCCACATGGGTACAATGTGTGAAGCCCATTTCTGCTGTCCCCTGCCGTGATGTGCTGGAATATTGCTGAAAGCGGCGTAAAACCATACTCACTCACTCACACCATGATACAACAGGAAAAACATGCAGCACTGTTAATCATTTACTTTTGGTATAAGTGTACATGCCACATTTAGAAGCGTAGACATTTATAAATGGTGACATTTGACAGGTGATGTGGTATACTAAAGAGAACTATACAATTATAACTATCATTTGGTGGATATTGTATTCTAACAGGCATCGAGTCAGTCAGTCAGTCTTTGCAGCTTCATTTACAAAACAACCCTGTGTGGTAGATTTTAAAAAATGCACAATATATACACCATTTAGATTTGTTTTTGTTTATTAAACCTGAAACATCCATTCATTATGTTGCCGATGGTGAATAATGAACATTGAACAGCAGGATTGTATGTGATAGGAAACAGAAATTATTAATTAAATCTATGAGGAAAAATAAAGATAAGTTTGATCAGAATCAGAGACCTTTTGTACGCCAAACAGAGGTTAGAGTGTTCTGTGTTGGTATTGTTCCCTTCAACATGCTGAGGAAAAGAATTGTCAGTGGTGACTTGGTGAAAGGGAGGTAATTCACTGCTTGCTATCTTGGGTGCAAATCAATCTTTTAGTAAATCAAACCAGCTGTTAATTCTTCCCATTTAGAAGAAATAACATCATTAGCATTTAGCCTTGATGTTAACACAGATTAGTATGATCAGTGTTTCCGTTTTCTGGTATATACCTGAAAATTGCCAGTAAAATTTGTTGGGGACCGGTAAATTGAAAGCCAGACGGACGCCGTGTCTGGTAAATAATCATGTATTAAAATAAAAAAATCATGGGTAAGCGAAATCAGTCTTGGCTGTGCTTTCACGGTCGCAAAAATTGTTATGTTTCGGAAATACCCAGGCTAAAAATAACTTTAAAATGAGTACTTACAGTCTGGTAATAGGATACGACCGTCAAATTTCATTCAGTACATTTTGTATTTTTTAACACTGTTTTTTGAGTACAATTTGAAAGAATATAAGCAGTAATTAACAGAGATTTTGAGATTCAAATATTTTGGATTGTTTTCGATTACTTGTGATTCCCGTATACAGCATCAGAAATGCAAAGATTCACTCGAGGAAGAAAATGTTTTGAATTGAAGCACACATAAAATATCCTCCAATTTGTGTAATGCTCAAAGAAATACCTATTCTGTGTTTTAGCTGTTCCTGAAACACTGATCTCAGATTTTTCCCTTTTCATAGTTGCCCTATTTATCTCTATGATTGTATTCACTGGTAGAACCATTGCATACTTTGGTATTACAGGAGAGACTGTCAAGTGTGCTTTTCCATACTATGACTTTCTAAATAACACTCTCTATCTTGCCTACCCTTCAAATATTCTAAGCACTTTTCAGAAATGGCTTTTTTCAATTCATTCTTTTTATACATCCTGAAATTTGAATCATTTCTAGCTTAAGTGGTGCTTACATTTTACAAACCCTTATCTCATTCAGAGAGGATTTTAAGAGCTCTTCAAGACAATCCTTTCAGATTCCTACTTTTACGATGTTAATGAAATTCCTTCTTATCTCTAGGGCTCACATTTGGTGAACTATAGTGTTTCCTTTTGCCTGGTTCTAGTGATCTGTAATTACCCACAGGTCCTACGGATTAGGAAAGAGTTTGCGAGAAATTAAAACTTAAAAAGATTTGACTGAAGTGCAAAATATGTTTGATGGAAAGGGTGTATTCATTTCATGTTCATTTTCTGAATTTCCTCATATGATTGTTGAAATGTTAACAGGAAGCCGAATCATCTTATCTGAGATTATAAATGCAGACTGGATTATTTACAGGCTGTTGTCATATGCCTGGAATATTTCTGTATACAGCTTTAAATAACAAGCACACATTGTATTTGAATCAAAGGAAGTCCTAAATCTGACAAGGAGCCCTGGAGTGTTAAGCTGATTATTAATATTGAGATCCTACACTGAATGTTTACACAGTGGACAGGTGACACAAGCTGCACTTTCTGTTTCCACTAACAAGCATTTTCTGTCGGTATTGTTAATGTTGAAACTCCACGCTGCATGAGGAAGAATGAGTGAGTGAGTATGGTTTTACGCCAAAAAGTCCAAAATACAGCCGCCCGCATCGTCAGCCGTACTTCCAAACACAGTCACATTACCCCAGTTCTAAAGCAGCTCCACTGGTTACCTGTGAGAGCCAGGATTCATTTCAAGACACTCTGCCTCACATACAAGTCCTTTTATGGCAAGGGTCCACCCTACATTGCAGATCTGATCAACCCCTACAGTCCATTGCGCGAACTTCGCTCACAGCAGCAAAACCTTCTGACAGTGCCGAACTACAAACTTGAAACCTTTGGATACAGAACTTTCTCCTACACTGCCCCTGTCTTGTGGAACTCTATCCCCTTTGACCTCAAACACTCTGAATCTCTGGACTCTTTTAAATCAAATCTCAAAACCTACCTCTTTGCTAAATATTATCCTCAATAGCCTTTATTGTTTATGTATTATGCACCTATTCATTGTAGTTTTCTTGCTTTGTATATATAATGTATTTATTTTAAGGTACTTATGTAGCGCCAAGAGCATGCTTCTGAGTGTGGATATGTGCGTTTTAAATATGCACTATTATTATTTTTATTTACGCCGCATTTAGCAATATTCCAGCAATATCATGGCAGGGGACACCAGAAATTGGCTTCACTCATTGTACCCATGTGGGGAATCAAACCTGGATCTTCAGCGTGAAGAGAGGATTCTTTAACCATTAGGCTACCCCACCGCCCCTGAGGAAGAAGAGTGAAAGTGCATTTGTTGGAGTGCATTATTATTTATAATTGTGCTGTATGTGACCATGATGATGAAATTCTACTGAACTTGACATTAAATTATATATTTTATTGGCAGTCACATTCAGCTGAGTTGCTGGAGGCTCCAATGCTTTGCTGGGAAGAGTTGTCTCCCTTGACTTGGCCGTTGATTGGATTACCTGATTCCCTTGACTTCCAGCACGATACTGATTTGTGACCTTGGACATACAGATTTAACACACAGATGTGTGTGGGTTTCACAAAGTATACAATCTGAATCACTTTCATCTCTCGTACGATATTAGTCAACATGCCAAAATATATCTTATATGTGATACTCAACTCACTCACTTAGTGATACAATGCTGTCCGGTAATTCCGTGCACCTAAGCACATAGATCGCAACACGGCACCTAACGTCTCATATTTTGGTGGTTTACCTGACTAAACATGCTGGTATGAACCATATTTACCTAGAAATATAAGTTTTATTGACGACTATAAGATTCCAACGTTGCATTATGCCATACGGTTGACCTTACCTGCGTTGACGACATCGCTTGCTGTCCGGTTATTCTGCGCAGCAACTGATGCGCATAACATCCAGCTGGAGATCTGAAGTATGGAAGCGTATTAGGGCCAGATTATTTTACAAAATCACTTCATCAATGTAAGGAAGAGTGTTTCATATTAAATCCAATTATGAATAATGAAGAAAAAGGTATAAAAGTCTGAAGAAAACAAATTTTCATAAAACTGTCAATTTATCTGTCAATTACTGTTATTCACTTACCTTTAGTGACTAAAAGCCAGTCCCTTGTAGAAATGTCCCCATTCCAAGCGTAAATGTGGTAGCAGATGATGTTTACCTTCGATACGGAAGTACGCTATTGCAGCTGCGCAGAATTACCGGACGTGCGGAATAACGGACTCGCTTGTATACCTGGGGGTCAGTCTTCATCAACCCATGCTTATTGTAACAGGTGACTTAAGGGGATTGGGTGGTCAGGCTCAATATCATCCAATCAGCAGCCACATGCTTCCATCACTACTGAAGTTTACATACGATACTCACTCAGGGAGCAACTGATGTACATTTAGTGTAGTAGAACCTGATTCCCTTGACCTCCACCATGATACTGATGTGTTAACCTTGGATACATTGATTTAACCCCTGCATGTGTCTGGTTTCCACAAAATATACAATGTACATCACTTTCATCTCTCCTACCACATTAGGCTACATGCCAAGATATATCTGAAATATGATACTTAACTCACTCACTTAGTGATATGCCCATGATGATCCGGGTTAGAATGAACCTTCAGTAACCCATGCTTGTCATAAGAGGCAACTAACGGGATCAGGTGGTCAGGCTCGCTGACTTGGTTGAAACATGTCATCATATCCCAATTGAGTAGATCAATGTTCATGCATTTGATCACTGGATTGTCTGGTCCAGACTTGATTGTTTACAGACTGCTGCCATATAGCTGGAATATTGCTTTAAAAAAAGTAAAATAAGAAATTCTACAAGGTATCCCATATTTATGTTAGGATATTGTATAAGTCACCACAGCTCATTGTGTTGCCACTCATCAGCATCCCAGAAACTGTTTCCCCGGCCACGTCATACCAAAAGACGTTAAAATATGGTACTTGTTGGTCCCTGCCTTGCTCTCGGCATTCATGGGTACAACAAGGACTGGTCGGCTCGGAGTCAGTATAATGTGTCTGAGTGGGGTATTCATGCTTCACTGCGGCATGGTATCTCAGTGGGCTAGCACTATAAAACCAGCTTCAGTCTGGGCTAGTACAAGCAGCCGCACATACACATACACACACATGCACGTCATCATATGAGCGACGTTAAACCCAATTTCACCTCACCTCACCTCACCCAGAAACTGGTTGTTACTTTGAATCCGGGTTTACTATGTTTATGGTTTATGGTTCGTCTGCACCATACCCATGCTTGTGAGATTGGTAAATATTTGAGAGCTGTGTATCTTATAGTTTTCCTCCACTAGCCTGACCTGCTGTGATGTAGCTGGAATACTGTTAAAAGCGGAATTAAACTTGACTCACTCACTTTAATGTGGGGCGGTTGGGTAGCCTAATGTTTAAAGTGATCGCTCGTCACGCCGAAGACCCGGGTTTGATTCCCCACATGGGTACAATATGTGAAACCCATTTCTGGTGTCCGTTGTGATATTGCTAGAATATTGCTAAAAGAGGCATAAAGCTCACTCACTCACTCACCCTAAAATAGCTACAATGTTACTGTCTGCCACAATTCACTCATTTTTTAAAATATTCTGTGAGTCATACGGATCATTGTACTGTATTCATCCCCTTTAAACTTTCACAGAGTTGCAGTTTGTGAGAGCCGAGGGTTTCGTTTTCTCGCTCATCGCTGACGAGGGCCTGATGAACGCTTGTGCTGGTGAAGTTCTACGTTATCGTAAACATATCGATGCTGACAATGTCCTCGTGTTCACAGACATCAAGAAGAAACATAGGTAAAATCTGCCATCTTTTTCCGTAACACGTGATAATAGTAGATAAATTTTCTCCTGAAATGTTTTATTGCTGACTTGATAACTTGAAAGTATGTCTCGATAACTTATCCAGATGGTAAATTACTAATGTAGAAGACATTAAAAGACGTTCTTGTTAAAGCTGAAAAAATTGAAAACAATCAGTTCCTGAAGAATGGCTTCTGAAAAATACCAGGCAGCAAAACGTTTTTGTGATTAAACTGTATTTTGCCTGGTGTGAGAGTTGTGCTTCTTTGTCTAATGCAGAAATGTTTTGCTGAAGTGAGGTGTTTAGTTACTGAGCATTGTTCGAGTGTAGGCAGATTTCCAGCAGTATTGTAAATATCAGATGTCAAGAATAGATATCAGTGTCAGAATTACTGTTCACATTTCTAGTAAATGGGACTGAAAAAGTTCCGTTATCTGTATGTGTTGTATGTAGCTGAAAGATAAAATATGTCTGACATTCTGTCAGTATAGAGAGCCTGTGTTCAACTGGATAAACTGTGGTTAAACATTTTAGGGATTGTTTCCCCATCAAACTAAGAAATGTGTCTCATTTTAAAAATATTGTAAAATAATTTTTACAATTTTTTTAATTACCTTTTTTATGTTACAATTTCCATTACAGCAGTTTCATGTTTTCCAACTGAAAGAATTTTAAGTGTACAGTGAATAGTGTTGATTTAAATACATTACCTCTTATATATAGTCCACATACATACAAAGTGCATATACGTTATAGTCAGTTATAGCATTTCTAAAAAGTAAATGGAAGGATGACCAGAAAGAATTAAAATCTTGCATACTTACAATTAGAAAATGCAATGAATTTTAAAATTAGATTTTTTTTAAAGATTGCTAAATATGTAAAGGTTGTCCAAAAGTGAAAAGCATGTTTTATTTATTTATTTTATTGTTACATAATACAATGGGTTGTTAGGAACATGATTTGCTGCTATGGAAACTGTTTGGAACTTGCTGGACATTGTTGGTTTGACTTTGAATGTACGAGTAAGATTCGATGCCCTGATCACATTCAGTGTTTCACAGTATTTAATGTTGGTAGTGTTTTCTTTTCCATACCTTTAGGTCATAATACATTTATTACCAGATTCTTATCTCTGCCAGACTTTCTTAAAAATACCCACATATTTTGTTTCCAGTGTTTGTTCTGCTATGTCATTCTAAACAATACTAGATGCTGACATCTTGTTTTCGGCTTAAATTCAGAACAGTAGAAGAGATTTTATGCTCAGTAAAAACTGCAGCGTAAAAGAACAGGAGAAAGCCAACATCTCAGATTTGCTATCAACCATCACTAGACATGATGATTTAGCTTTTCAGCTATATTTTCTGTCTTGCTAGGCATTGTTTTTTATGCAGAGACAGAGATCACTGTGTATATTTGTCTTGTCAATTAAGCTAAAAATAGCAATCAACTGTTTACACTAATTCAACTAGAAAGTACCCAATGATATAGCTTGCAAGATTGGAAAGAAATGTATTGGAAAGGATTATTTTACCAGTATTTTTCGAGGTCATGTTATTTCAGTTGCGACTTTTGCTGAATCTGTATAACAGAATAATAGGGGCGGTGGGCTAGCCTAGTGGTTAAAGTGTTCGCTCATCACGCCAAAGACCCTTGTTTGATCCCCCACATTGGTACAATGTGTAAAGCCCATTTCTGGTGCCTGCCCCCCACCCCCCCCGTGATATTGCTCGAATATTGCTAAAAGTGCATCAAACCATCTCACTCACTCAGTCACTCATTGAACGAGTTTTATGCAGCACTCAGCAATATTCCAGCTATATGCCAGCAGTCTGTAAATAATAAAGTCTGGACCAGACAATCCAGTGATCAACAGCATGGGCATCGATCTGCACAATTGGGAACTGATGACATGTGTCAACCAAGTCAGCGAGCCTGACCACCCAATCCAGTTAGTTGCCTCTTATGACAAGCAGGGGTTGCTGAAGGCCAATATTCTAACCCGGACCTTCACGGGGTCTCATTGAAAGAATAATGATGATAATTGTAGCGCTTTGGTACACGATAATTCAAGAGTTTTATATCTCATATTAACCATTTGGACAGAAGCAGAAGTGATGAACCCTCTCTATGGTGACATTATAATTAAATTCCGAGGCTAATGTGTAAGATGGGCGGAAGGTGACCAGTCTAACCCTTGTCCATCAGCCAGGCTGTTATTCAGGAAAGCTTTTACATGCCAATCATCCCTTGAAGTGCCCATTTGTAGTTGCCATGTGTCTTAACAAGAGTTCACTCAGAAATCATGTGAAGGAGCTATGGAATATGAGCCCCCTGTGTCTATTAACTTTGCATATATTTCATCAGTCGCCCATCAAGGCAAATTTTGGTGGAAGTTATCGAAAATAACAGATAAAGAAAATCCAATTTTCCAACCATCTATAATGAATCAGTCTCAAAGACATAATGTCAGATCGCAATGTCAAGATATTTTCTCAAACATTGGCGAATAATTTTATGAGCAGTGTGTCATTTCATATGTAAGGAGGAGGTTGGTTGTCATGAAGATTTGATAACTCCTTATATATTCCAGGGTTCGGTTTGCTGCCGGAGGAAATGAAGTTAATTCTGTACAGTAGGGAAGGTGGGGTAGCCTTGTGGTTAAAGTGTTTGCTCACCACACCCGCATTCTGGGTTTGATTCTCTTCCTGGGTACAGTGTGTTCAGCCCATTCTGATCCCCTCAGTGATCTCTCTCTTCCTTCCTGCGGTGGTGGGGTAGCCCAGTGGTTAAAGCGTTCACTTGTCACACTGCAGGTATGGGTTCGATTCCCACATGGGTACAATGTGTGAAGCCCATTTCTGGTGTCCACCGCCGTGATATTGCTGGAATATTGCTAAACTCAGCATAAAACCATACACACTCACTCACTTGCCCACCGCCCTCACTCACTACCACTCGACCACTTGAACAAGCCTTGGGTATCAGTTCTAAATAGGCCTTGAGTATCAGTTCTAAATAGGCCTTAGGTATCAGTTCTAAATAAGCCTTGAGTATCAGTTCTAAATAGGCCTAGGGTATCAGTTCCAAATAGGCCTTGAGTATCAGTGCTTAACAGTTCTAAATAGGCCTTGAGTATCAGTTCTAAATAGGCCTTCAGTTCTAAATAGGCCTTGAGTATCAGTTCTAAATAGGCCTAGGGTATTAGTTCTAAATAGGCCTTGAGTATCAGTGCTAAACAGTTCTAAATAGGCCTTGGGTATCAGTTCTAAATAGGCCTTGAGTATCAGTTCTAAATAGGCCTTGAGTATCGGTTCTAAATAGGCCTTGAGTATCAGTTCCAAATAGGCCTTGAGTATCAGTGCTAAACAGTTCTAAATAGGCCTTGGGTATCAGTTCTAAATAGGCCTTGAGTATCAGTTTTAAATAGGCCTTGAGTATCAGTGCTAAATAGGCCTTGGGTATCAGTTCTGAATAGGCCGTGAGTATCAGTTCTAAATAGGCCTTGAGTATCAGTTCTAAATAGGCCTTGAGTATCAGTTCTAAATAGGCCTTGAGTATCAGTTCTAAATAGGCCTTGGGTATCAGTTCTAAATAGGCCTTGAGTATCAGTTCTAAATAGGCCTTGAGTATCAGTTCTAAATAGGCCTTCTAAATAGGTATCAGTTCTAAATAGGCCTTGGGTATCAGTTCTAAATAGGCCTTGAGTATCAGTTCTAAATAGGCCTTGGGTATCAGTTCTAAATAGGCCTTGGGTATCAGTTCTAAATAGGCCTATCAGTTCTAAATATCGGTTCTAAATGAGGCCTTATCAGTATCAGTTCTAAATAGGCCTTGAGTATCAGTTCTAAATAGGCCTGCAGTTCTAAATAGGCCTTGTATCAGTTCTAAATAGGCCTTGGGTATCAGTTCTAAATAGGCCTTGAGTATCAGTTCTAAATAGGCCTTGGGTATCAGTTCTAAATAGGCCTAGGGTATCAGTTCTAAATAGGCCTTGGGTATCAGTTCTAAATAGGCCTTGAGTATCAGTTCTAAATAGGCCTTGGGTATCAGTTCTAAATAGGCCTTGGGTATCAGTTCTAAATAGGCCTTGGGTATCAGTTCTAAATAGGCCTTGAGTATCAGTTCTAAATAGGCCTTGAGTATCAGTTCTAAATAGGCCTTGGGTATCAGTTCTAAATAGGCCTTGGGTATCAGTTCTAAATAGGCCTTGAGTATCAGTTCTAAATAGGCCTTGAGTATCAGTTCTAAATAGGCCTTGGGTATCAGGCCTAAAGGCCTTGAGTATCAGTTCTAAATAGGCCTTGGGTATCAGTTCTAAATAGGCCTTGGGTATCAGTTCTAAATAGGCCTTGAAGTATCAGTTCTAAATAGGCCTTGGGTATCAGTTCTAAATAGGCCTTGGGTATCAGTTCTAAATAGGCCTTGAGTATCAGTTCTAAATAGGCCTTGAGTATCAGTTCTAAATAGGCCTTGGGTATCAGTTCTAAATAGGCCTTGGGTATCAGTTCTAAATAGGCCTTGAGTATCAGTTCTAAATAGGCCTTGAGTATCAGTTCTAAATAGGCCTTGAGTATCAGTTCTAAATAGGCCTTGGGTATCAGTTCTAAATAGGCCTTGGGTATCAGTTCTAAATAGGCCTTGAGTATCAGTTCTAAATAGGCCTTGAGTATCAGTTCTAAATAGGCCTAGGGTATCAGTTCTAAATAGGCCTTGGGTATCAGTTCTAAATAGGCCTTGAGTATCAGTTCTAAATAGGCCTTGGGTATCAGTTCTAAATAGGCCTTGGTATCAGTTCTAAATAGGCCTTGAGTATCAGTTCTAAATAGGCCTTGGGTATCAGTTCTAAATAGGCCTTGAGTATCAGTTCTAAATAGGCCTTGAGTATCAGTTCTAAAACAGGCCTTGGTATCAGTTCTAAATAGGCCTTGGTATCAGTTCTTAAATAGGCCTTGGTATCAGTTCTAAATCTTGAGTATCAGTTCTAAATAGGCCTTGGGTATCAGTATCTAAATAGGCCTTGGGTATCAGTTCTAAATAGGCCTATCAGTTCTAAATAGGCCTTGGGTGTCAGTCAGTTCTAAATAGGCCTTGAGTCAGTTCTAAATAGGCCTTGGGTTCTAAATATCAGTCAGTTCTAAATAGGCCTTTGAGTATTGGCCTTGGGTATCAGTTCTAAATAGGCCTTGAGTATCAGTTCTAAATAGGCCTTTGGTATCAGTTCTAAATATAGGCCTTGAGTATCAGTTCTAAATAGGCCTTGAGTATCAGTTCTAAATAGGCCTTGGGTATCAGTTCTAAATAGGCCTTGGGTATCAGTTCTAAATAGGCCTTGGGTATCAGTTCTAAATAGGCCTTGAGTATCAGTTCTAAATAGGCCTTGAGTATCAGTTGAGTATCAAAATAGGCCTTGGGTATCAGTTCTAAATAGGCCTTGGGTATCAGTTCTAAATAGGCCTTGGTATCAGTTCTAAATAGGCCTTGAGTATCAGTTCTAAATAGGCCTTGGAGTATCAGTTCTAAATAGGCCTTGGTATCAGTTCTAAATAGGCCTTGAGTATCAGTTCTAAATAGGCCTTGAGTATCAGTTCTAAATAGGCCTTGAGTATCAGTTCTAAATAGGCCTAGGGTATCAGTTCTAAATAGGCCTTGGGTATCAGTTCTAAATAGGCCAGTGAATAGGCCTTGGATATCAGTTCTAAATAGGCCTTGGGTATCAGTTCTAAATAGGCCTTGGGTATCAGTTCTAAATAGGCCTTGGGTATCAGTTCTAAATAGGCCTTGAGTATCAGTGCTAAATAAGCCTGCAGTATCAGTTCTATAGAAATAGAAATTTACGGTCAGTTCAAATGTTTCTTCTCTTCAATTGTTGCCTATGGCACTGAGTCTTATGACAGAACCAAACAACTACTTAAACATATCAGTGCAAAATGCCTAGAAATTGTCCTCAAATGTTTCTTCTCTTCAATTGTTGCCATTAGCTTAATATTCTGTAGTGGTGTAGCTATTGTCTCAGTGGTCTGTTTGTCTCATGTAGGATTTTTCACAGTGCTTAATGTTCCTTTTGGATACCCGGCAAGAATCGACCCCTCTGTCATAATATTGGTCTGATTTAGTCGACTCCAACAGGGATCTGAAGCATGTTACAGTGTGTGACCTGATTGTGTCATTGTATTCTGAAAACATGGATATTTGTTCATGCTATCGACCACTAGTTTATCAGTCAAGTATCAATGATGTACAACCCACTGTGATAGGACTGTTATATGGTTGAAAGCTTCTGACTACTCTGTGTGTTGACCGTTACAGTGCCCACACTATCACCGAAGATGTCAGCATTGTAGAGACGGCCAAGGCAGCAGAGTTCTTCCTTAGCGATGGCGTCGTGGTTACAGGCGGCGCTACAGGAATGGCTGCCAGCACTCAGGAAGTAGCAGGTGGGATACGCACATATTTAATATTGTTGGTCGTAGGTCAATATTTGTCAAGATTATACTTGCAGTCACGTTTGTCATGTTGCAAAATAGACATATTTTCATTGTTGAGATCCATGAGAAGAGATGGCTGACAGGGTCTAGTGGAAGGAGTACCTGTCTGGACAGCAGCGTGCAGGGGTTTGATCCTGGTTGCGTAGTACCAAAAAATGTTAAAAGATGGTAGTTGTTGTTTCCTTGCCTGGTAATCAGCATTAAGGAGATGAAATAAACACTTCATGTCTGCTTGTCACATTGACCTAGTTAAATACAAGCAGATACACATACACATGCATGCATGTCACTGTAGGACTGCACCCGTGAAGATCAGAATTAATCTTCAGTAACCCATGATTGTCGTAAGAGGCGACTAACGGGATCGGGTGGTCAGGCTCGCTGACTGGGTTGACACATGCCATTTTATCCCAATTGCATAGATCAATGCTCATGCTGTTGATCACTGGATTGTCTGGTCCAAACTTGATTATTTACAGACTGCCGCCATATAGCTGGAATATTGCTGAGTGTGGAATAAAACTCACGCACCCACCCACCCACTAACTGTATGACTGCAATGATTTTGTATGCAATTTATCAACTTCTGAAGTTGTTGTCTACCCTAAGTGAAAAATATGGTTCTTTTTCATTTTCACCCAGTTTTAATGTGCATGAAAATGTTTAAGTTGTTGGGATATTTTTCCTCTTCACATTACTTTCTTTTTCATATGCATGATCATTGCCAGAAGCATTATTAATAGTGAAGACAATATTGATTTTTGAAAAAATCCTGAAAAGAACTCACCTGTAACCCAATATAAATCTTTCCTCATATATCTTTGTCTATGTTTCTGCTGTAGAATTATAAAATTTGTGGAAAGATTTTTTCAGTTTCAAGTATTAGGACAGATCAATTTTATTTCTTGTTTTACGGATCCGCCGGTCATATTATTTCAAGAATAAGAAAATAAATATTAAGTAATTTTCCCCGCTTAAAAAATAAAATCCTAATGTTTTTATTTGCCAAGAATGTAAACTTCAAAAAAATATAAGATTTTATTGTTTTTTGCCCCATATACACTTCATATATTGCCAAAAGTAAAACACTTTTAGTATTTTAAAGTAATATCACTTTGGCTGGTGATTTTTATTTTTATATTTTTTCCCTCCTGCCTTTATGTTTTCTGAGGACAAAAAGTCCATAAAACAAGAAATAAAATTGGTCTGGCCTTAGGAAGAAAAATCAAGGAGGAATTCAAGACAGTGTTTTTGAAACATAATAGTTGTCTCAGCGTTGGTCTTCAAAGCCAGCAGTGAAATATTGAAGAAGAAATTTGCTGGGTATTGTTGATGTTGTATTGCTGCAAGACTTTTCCCACCTTGGATGTCAAAATTAGGGTGTTTGTGGTTTAGTGAAACATTGGTCTGTTAGATTATAGTTTGATACTAAAACATTTGAAATAAGCGAGGGAATTTGTTTCATTTTAAGATTATCTCCGAATTATTGATGATAGATACTGAGAGAACATTTACTTTTAACATTTGTTTTATGTGAAAGAAATGTGTTCTCGTGAAAATGTTGGGGTTATCAATAGATAAATTGTTTATGAAATATTTTTTATTTGAGGTGTGCGCATTTTATCTTCTGCAATGCGTGTTCGGGGGGTGATAAAATGGACTCTGTCGATATGTGCATCCATCCAGCTGTGCAACATGTTGTTTTTGGAGCAAATCTTGAAAACTGTTTATTTCTTCTTTATTTGGCCAAATTAAAGGTGTAGTGGTGAACTGGTGCCTTTTGATAGTTTGGGGTTTTTAAACTCTATGTTGTTTCAGTTTCCATAGCAACAACTTAAACTTAAGATGGCAGTTGTAGTCCTTTCTGCAGCAGATTGTAAAATGATATTTCTTCACCAAACTTGGCACGTAGGTAGGTCAAGTGTTGAAGTGCTCTCTTTTAACGAACTGTGCAAGGTGGAAGAAGCGATAGGATCAGACAGTCAGGGCCTATATTTTCGAAGTTCTCTTAGTGCTAAGATAGTCGTAAGTTAATGTTAATGTATGGCACTTACGACTATCTTAGCGCTAAGAGAGCTTCGAAAATCTAGGCCCAGGTTTACTGTCTAGGTTAATGTATGTCAGTGTATTCCAATTGGGTACATCTATGTTCATTATGTTAATCACTGGATTCAGTTATTTACAGACAACTTTCATATAATGTCTATTTTTCCTTATCCTGACTCATGCTTATTGCTTGTCTCCCTTTCCTTCCGAATGCTAGTGGAACACTTGAATCCCCTTTTGAAGCTCCCTTCAAAAAAGCGGACGTAAAATCACTTACCAGGAGTCATCTCCCTTCTCAGGCTTTGGCGGGAAACGGCGCCACCTGTCTCCCATGCTCCTCACTCTCTCCTGAGTCATGAGTCAGGATAAGTATAAAATATCAATTTTATTCAGAAAATTACATTTTAGTGGCATTTAGAAGTTGTATGTAGATGTCCAAGATGTTTTTATAGATTAAACTTCTTTTTTATTTCCCTCACAACGTTTCGGGACCATTCCATTCGGGACATATGTCATAGTGACGACATCATAGTCTCAACTGGCAGTTCACCTGATGAAGGGACCTGGAATGGTCCCGGAAACGTTGTGAGGGAAATAAAAAAGAAGTTTAATCCATAAAAATATCTTGGACAACTTTCATATAGATGGAACATTGCTGACTGCAGAGTTAATCAACAAGCAAATAACCAACAAAGAACATAGTTTCACCCGCATCATTACCAAAACCCCTTCTCTCATTATTCTCTAGTCTAGGGCTGGGACGGGTACTCGGGTACTTGAGTCCGGGTTGGGTACACCTGGAATCGAGTCCTATTTCTAGGAATCGAGTACCCGGAAAGGGAGAGAACTCTGTAATGACAAGGGCAGATAATAACTTGTCTCTTTCATAATTGACGTAACACCCATTTACATAATTGGTATTGTCCAATTAATGAAGGTTATTATTAACGACTGTAATTTATCTACGCATGAGCGGCGGGAACGAAAAGTTCTGTGTTTTAACAAGGAATGTACGTAATGCTGATAGTCTTTATATTGGTTAAATAGACGTAAATTAAATAACCTAAGATCTGTTTTAATGTCTTATTGCCATCCTTTCAAGTTTCTATAATAATCTCTGTCAACCCGTGATTGAATATTCAGACAGTTGACAGAAACGCCGTATTCCTTACATTTCCGGGTACTCGATTCCGATTCGGGTAAGCACATGCGGGTACTCGATTCCATTTATTCCTACCCGTCCCAGCCCTACTCTAGTCCTTAAGTACCACTGGATGTGTTCTTCTTTCTTCACTTGATAAACAAAACCATGAACATACTTCTACTCTGGTTGATGGGTAGCCAAGTGGTTAAAGTATTCAGTTGTCCTGCCTAAGGCTGTGGTTTGATTCCCTCAGTGGGGACCATGTGTGTAGTCCTTATCTAGTGTTTCTTTTGTCATATTGCCAGAATATGGCTAAAAGTGGTGTAAAACTATACTTATTCACTCACTCAAATCCCTATAGACCTTCCTCCCAAATCAGACTTGTGAAGATTCAGTTTAGAATTGATCTTCAGTAACCCATGCTTGTCGAAAGAGGCGACTTACGGGATTGGGTGGTCAGGCACGCTGACTTGGTTGACACATATCACTGTTTCATAATTGCATAGATCAATGCTCATGCTGTTCATCACTGGATTGTGTAGTCCAAACTCTATTATTCACAGAACGGTGCCATATAGCTGGAATATTGCTGTGTGCAGTGTTAAAAAATTAAACAAACAAGCATAAATTTAGATGCTTGATTGGCATTTTAGAAGTTGCCATTTGATAAACATAAAGAATATATATGGAGTAAAAGAAGATGAAATCCAGAAAATTCTTTAGGTTCATAAGCATAACTTTGTCCATATCAGTACGGTTTTGTTGTGCATAGATGTCACAGAGTATTCAGGATGTGAAATACTCCAGGGTGTTATTCAGGAATGGGGGTTACAGGGAGATCGCATGGTTTCATTATATTTTGGATTATTTTTTAGGAACATTTTTTTTTCTATAAATATTTCCGAGACTAGATGATAGTCTCAATGAGGGGCGGTGGGGTAGCCTAGTGGTTAAAGCGTTGGCTCGTCACGCCGAAGACCCGGGTTCGAATCCCCACATGGATACAATGTGTGAAGCCCATTTCTGGTGTCCCCTGCCGTGATGTTGCTGGAATATTGCTAAAAGCGGCGTAAAACCAAACTCAGTCAGTCAGTCTAAATCTCAGTGTATAGTAAATGTTTTAAAAATGTAGTGGTGGTGGTGTATGGTCCTGTGCATAGAGCTCCGATCACAAATCAGTTAAAGTTAAGCAACGTTTGGTGCGGTGAGTCCTTGGATGGGTGGCCATGTTTGGCAGCTTGACTCCTGAGAGTTTCTAGGACATCAGTCCTGCCCCACAACGAATCATGAGTTGAGAGACTTGTGGTGTCACCTTGGCTAAGTGACTTAGTTCGAAATGTGACTCTGTCCACCCAGCAGTAAATGGGTACCTGGTATGATACGATGGTAGTCTGAATTTGAACCTTGATCGCCTGACAGGCGACCGGTTGTATTCTCCACAGGGAGTGTCCTGTACTCGTTGACCAGGGGTAATATATCAGGCTTTGAGCATACAATATGCATGGATAAATGCGCAATATAAATTGGACTATTATTATTATTATTATTAAAAATGTAGGGTAACTAATTAAAATGGAAATGAAATTGCAAAATCTATTTTATTCATGTAATTTAGTACTAGATTTTCACAAAAATATCAAAATATGTTTTGGGACATACTTTAATTATACGGTGCATGTTTTAAAGGAAATCGATCAGGCAGAAAATAAAGAAGTGTTGCAGGTTCCAAGGTTTATACTGTGTGACCCTCGTTCGATAA